CCGCAGTCAGGTTCCCCATCTAGATGAGTTTAAGGAAGATTCTGCTTCCAGCTGATTTCCCCTGTCCAGTCAGTAGCAGTCCTGCTGAACCCAGGACACCATCCCATCTGTGTTTTCACTAAAACTGATGTGCACAGCTTCCTTGACAAAATTTGACAGTATTTCCAAATAGCCACCACGCTGTGCAGGTGTAGGGCCTGAATGTTACACTTCAGTGCAAAATATCAGTAACAGCTCTACTTGGGGAAACCAACATCTTCTATTCTAATTGAGTTCCAGGTCAGTGTGACTTTTGCCCTGTGAGGACCACCTTTTTGCAAGCCTGGATAACAGAGGTTAGAGTATCTGAAGGGCAGGAGCTAGCAGGACTGGTGAGAGTTGCATAGGTTTGGCAGAGTACCTGAATCCCAACCTGTGGAGGAGCAGCTCTCCCTTTCAGCACATCACCAGCAGACCTTTGACGTGCTGCTCTCAAAAAGCCAAGTGCTGCAAGACAAGAACTAGATGGTTCGAGCTACACATTATAGAGCAGTTCTGTGCTACTTGGTGCTGGCCAAGATGGGAGCTCCAAGCTTGGGCAAGGGCTAGGGCAAGGGCTAATGCTCCAGGAAGGTGAAGCCGTGCCGTATCACTCCAACACAGACAGTGAGGCTTTTTTAGGGCGGGTGAAAGTTGGGATTATGTTATGTCATGTTTATCCATGATGTATTTCTAAAGAATTCTCAGCAACAAGTACCTAAAACTATTTCTCCCTTCTTCAAACTGCTTTATGTAAGCTATTTTTAATTAAAATGAGCTTCCAATGTGTCCACAATTGATTCCTTAAAATATTAATAATTTTCCCTACATTGGGTATCAAAGCCATTACTTTTTTCCTGTGTGTCCTTTAACTATATTTAAATAATTCATTTACCCATTTTCCAGCCCTCAGGGAGACTGGTTCTGTTGTGGGGTTTTTTACACAGTGTTATCACATTTAAAACACAGGATATTTCCTCCTAAAGTTATAGGATGTTTTGCTTTTTATTTGCCAGTGTTTACTCAGCACAAGAATCCAGTTAGCTACCATTTTATTAAGACACAAATGTAGCATGGAAATATGTGTCTGCCTGTGTATAAATGCCCTTTCCACAGCTCATCAATCTCGCACTAATTAGAAAGACAAAAATATTTTAAAACCAATTAATGTCACTGAGAAACATTCCAGTAATTCTCAAAATACAATGTAACCATGATAGATACATTTCAATTATTTCAAAGCATTTTCACAGAGCACTGAGTAAGCATAAGGAAAAAGCAGGGTCTAAAAGCCACCTCACTTGGCTGATGGATCTCTGACATAGGATGTAGATTAGGGTTTAAGTGAGACCAGCAGTTCGTATTCTCCCTCAAAAAGCTCCTGAGTCACCTGATTAAAGTGCAACCTTGACAAATATGCACAGCATTGTCTCTCACAGTTGGAATCACCAAAGAGGCTAAAAACAGCGCCATGCACTGCATAATCTCTAACCTCAGGGGACAACAAAAACAGAGAATTGCTGTGTCAATCTCATTTCCTTGTTAGGCTCATTATCATAAATGCAGGCCTTTGGATTTGAATGCCACACTTCAATAACATTTACCTATCAACAGCTGCTGAAATATTGAATTCCACAGTCATCTTTTCCTTTTGATGCTTTCCCTTTTGTTTCTTTATCCATAAACATGAGCAACTGAGCTAAGCTTAAATTAACTAGCTGGGGTTAAATGTTTAGGGCAGCAAATTATGGCTAGCCTGCTTGCAGAGTGGTTTAGATTACAGAGGAGAGTTGCCAATCTTAGCTCTCATCATGCACTCCAAATGTGCAGAGCAATATTGGCAGTTCATGGCCAAGTCCTGCATGCTTTAGTTATCACAGGAGCACTGTTCCCATGAATAAGTGGAGCAAGATTTAGCCCCTGCTCAGAAGATAGAGATGAATCACACTTTTATTCTTTGAGTACCTCATGGTACCTTCAACAAAGGCATGTTCAGTGATTGATAGCCTGTGTCTAGATTGGGTATTTTTCTATATACTGACAAATATTCTCTTCGCGATGATTTCTAGGAGCAGAGGAGTATACACTGCAGCAATGTTGGGTTTCTTATTTTTCATTGTGCCCTTTATCTTGGTTTTGATTAGTTTTTTTTTTCCAAGGGTCAGTTGCTTCCCATCCTTTTTCCACTCTGAGTGCTCTGAAATAATCCTGTTACAGATCTCCAGCCCTTAGCATCAGTAAAACTGTGGAAACTTGCATCAGTAAATAGGTAGGGAAAGACACAGGCTTCGCTTCAGGGTCAAATCCCAAGTGGCGGCACGGTCTATGGAAAATAAAGGTGTTTGGCTTTCTTGAAATGAGCTGCTGGTATCAGCCACAGCTTTTTTTTTTTTCCCACTTGATCAAGGCAAGAGCTACGTGCTATCTATTAACTGTTTTAATCCAGTGTACAACCAAAATAGGACTGTAATTCCTATTTGGGAGAGATAGAGATGCTTGGTTAATAACAATTTCATGACTACATGCTGTTACTCACAAGGCCACTCAGGTGCACTAGGATGTGCCAAAGGGGACAGCCATGGAAGCAAACAGCCCGCAAGTACTCGCAGCAGGTACAACATCATCTCTCCAATACCCTGACGCTATCACTTCACCCAGCCTGTCTCTTTGCCAGTCTAGGGACATGCTCCCCAACTGCAAAGCCATGTTAGTCCTTCTGCAAGAGCGACTGCATGCCTGTACAGAGTTTAGGAGTAAATCGGTGCTCCTCTAAAAAGGGGAATCCCACAAAACCAAAGGAAGGTGTGGGACCACTTTTGCTCCACAGGACTGATCAGCAGGACCCCCTCAGGTTAGGCACAACACAGCCTTTGGCCATGGCAGATTTCCTCATCTGAAACTCAAGGGAAAAGTCATAGAAGGATGGGGCAGGGGGGAGGATCAGGACATTTGTTAGATCTACATACCCAGAAGAACCACTAAGAGCAGAGCAGAGTTAAAACCAAGCCTTTCTAAAAACAACTGAAGGGTCATTTTGGTGGTCCAGTGGTGAACACTCAGCAGACATAAATTAAGTGCATAAAGCATGAATTCCATTTGCCACATGGCTGAGGTCCCTGCCACATTTCAGTGGTTTTGGACCCTGTTAACCTCAAACCCACTTCTCTCCTCATGTCCATAGAGATCCAACATCTACCTGACGAGTGGCAGAGAGCCCACGTAAAGGAGGCAGCTTGGAGGACATGACCTGTCAACTGCAGTTTTCTCCTTTTGTCCAAGGGTTGTTTTCTCCAACAGGAACAGAAGGGTAGTGAGCGAGTAGTGAGCTCCTAGGAATGTAGCTGACACCTGAGCAGGTAATTTTTGACCATTTATTTGAATCTAACTACTAGAAGCCTAATATTAACTTCATACAATTTTAATACTGTACCGACCTCCAGTAGCTGCTTGTCACAGCTGTGGTAGAGGCCAGTGAGACGAGACAAGGTGGAGGACACATTTTGTTTCTGAGTGGGAGCAGAGTTTCTCTCACACTTATTTCCAGTCTCTCTTTTGCATTACAGTACAGTATTTTTTTAAAGCACAGGCGATCAAAGAGTCAGGAAGCACAAAGACTTATGATTGATTTTGCTTAAATAAAATAATGATTTCTATTACACTAGCCTTTACTTAGAGGCTTCTGGCTGCTACAAGTATTTGATTTATTCTACTTGTCAAAAAAATCAAAATCAGAAACAGCACAGCTCCTTGTATGTCCTGCGTGAAAGAAATGCGCAGTTTGCAGAAGTTAGCTGAACTTTTCTGGAGGAGAGGGGCTGAAGACCACAAGAATTAATTACGTCAGTAGAGAGAAGTGCGGCTTTTTATTTCCGACTAAATACATAAAGCTGAAATGGGACAGCGATGACCACAATAAGTGGCTGAAACTCCACATGATGACAGAGGAATGATTTCCCACCACCACTGCTTAAATATAACTAAGGTGTTCTGTAATTTTACTTCCACAAGCCAGAGGGTTTATTGTAATCCTGATAAATTATAGCAGCAGAAGCAGGAGAAAAGTGGGACAGGAAAAGGGAAATGTTAATGCAAAATATAAAATTGCCTCACAGAAAAGAACGGGGAGAGGGAGAGAGTGGTTTGTTATCATTTATTTTTCTTCAGCGTATCATTCAGTTTCAGCCGTCTCCCATCTCACCCAGATCTCCACCATTTCTCAGAAACGTCTCTCGATGGCATCTCATTCTGCTCCTGTCTTTCACCAGCGTTTCATTATTTCTCAACTGTCCCTGCAAGGGTCTAGGCAGGAAACAGAGAGGAGCGGGTTGCTGGGGGGGGGACGGGGGACGGGGGACGGGGGACGGGGGGACGGACACGAGAAGAGAGGGACGAGCCTTTGCCCCACGTGTCCGCCTCATTTAAGCAGTTTGCAAAAAGCGGGCGGGGTGTGCGGGCAGGAGGCGTTGCAAATAATGTTAAATGTGATTAATCTCCCGGATTCCTGGAAATCTGACATGCATGAGTTACAGCGAAACCTCTTTTATTTCGCCATGAAACGCTTTTGCATAATGAGAAAGAAAATGTCCTCTGTGTCCTAATCAATTCTGACAGGTCCTGGACTCCCAAATGGCATTATTTATTTCACCCCTAATAACCGGGGAAGCGGCCGCGCGGCTGGCTGCGTGCGGGGACAGGGGTGGGGACAGACAACGGCGGGGCACCCGCAGCGGGGCCACAAAGTTTCTGCGCGGCTCCGCGCTCCGAGGGCTGGGCCGCTATTCTGCAGCACCGCTGGGCACGGCCCCGCGGAGCGGGAAGGGCACGGGAAGGCTCCTCGGCCGCCCCCCTCCCCCGGCGGTGCCCGTTGGCTCACCTGCCCCGCGGGGGGAGCGGGAGGCGGCAGCGGCCCCGCCAGGGCCCGCCTCCCCGCCCCGCTGCCATTAGCAGAGATTACCCTAAACACTTGCCGGTCGCCGCCCGTCTCCCTCCAGGCATTGGCGCGGCCGCCTGTCAATCAGGCCGGCGCCCCGCCGCGCCGGGGCTCCGCCGTGCCACAGAGACGAGCCGCGGCGGCGGCAGACGCAGCCCCGGAGCGGGGCCGTGTCGCGCTGGGGTAGGGGAGACGCCTGAGGATGGAGGAGGAGGAGATGCAGCCAGCGGAGGAGGGACCCAGCACCCCCAAAATCTACAAGCAGCGGGGCCCCTACAGCGTCCTGAAGACCTTCCCTGGGAAGCGGGCGGTGCTGGCCAAGCGCTATGAGAGACCCACCATGGTGGAGGTGCCCCGCGGGCGCGGAGCGGGGCAGCCCTTCCCGCACGCCGCCGAGTCGCTGCCTTACGCGCAGCACGGCCCCTTCCCTAACGGGCCCGCCCGCCCCGCTGCTGCCCTCGGCGCTGCCCAGGGACATCCCCGCCCGCCGCCGGCCCCGAGCTCTTCGGGCCGCTACGGCCCCTGCCCGGCGGCGGCGGGGAGCGGCGGCGCGGAGCTGAGCGCAGGTACCCGCAACTCCTCTCTTCTGCCGCGCAACTTGGCGGGGCACTTTGCAGCAGGCTGGAGCGGGATGAGGGCTGCGAGCTCCCCACAACACGCACACACCCACACCCCTCTGCTAGGGGGCTGGCGGCGGTCCTCAGGTCCTCCCCATGGGGGCTGGCGACGCCAGCGCCCCGGAGCTGGGTGTGGGGGGAACGGGGAGAGCGGCTGTGTCCGCCCGTCGGTGGGGCATCGCTAAAGTTCACGGGGGCGGGCGGGGCCGCTGCAGGGGCCAGCATCGGCCCCGGGACGGGGAGGGCATCGCGGGCCCCCCAACGCCGTCGGGGCTGAGGCGACGGCTGCTCGCGACTTGGCGGGGCAAGCGGCCGAGGGCCGGTTCTCACCTGCGGGAGCGGCGCCGCCGCCGCCGGTGGCAACGGGCGGGGGAAGTCCGGGCCGGGCGCTCCGCTCCACCGCGGTGTCGGCCCGGTGGGGGGGGGGGGTGTGCGGCGCGGGTGGCTGCCGGAGGGAGCGCTGGCGGTGGAGAAGGCTGATGTTAAAGAGGTGGTGATTTTAACAGGAAGAAAATAGGCTGCTTGCCTGCACCGTTTTCGTAAGATGTAGCGAGGAGCAGGGGTTGGGGTTATTTTATATTTTTTTTTTTTTGCTTTAAAGGTGTACGATACCGAGATGCTGAACGCGTATCTTTCTTCTGGTGATGGCTTGGAGTTAAAAACCACGTAGATTTTGATGTGCAACCTAAATTTGGCATCAGGAAATGGGAAATTGCATCTTTAAGCAGAGTACAATCAAAAATGAATTACAATAAATCCTATATAATTGCATAGGTCATTCTCTTTAATGAGATTTTATTAACCTGACTGTCAAGCTTTTGAGTCAGGCAGATATTTTATCTTCTTCAACTGATAAAAGTGTCAGCTATAAACCACCATATAAATATTCATAAATCTACACATCTGTGGCAGCCTATCAGCATCATTCTTTTGGACATTAAAAGCATTCTAATTACTTTCTGTCTAGCAGAGCTGAAATGCTGCCTGTTATAGTATGTGCTTGGCAGGCATGATTGCTTTTGTTTGCCATCACAAATAGCAGCATCCTATTTTATATACTGATGGTCCAGAATATATTCAGGGTTTGACTGAACAGGATGAATATTATGAAGCACCATCTGGTTTTGATAACATCGGGTATATTAACTCATCTGTTAATTTTTGACACATCAATGATTTATTTATTTAGAAAAATTGGATCCTGTTTTGGTATGTTGCTGTTTGCCTTTGTAATAAATGTGATGACATTTCCTTACTAAACAGGGAAATATGCTACTTAATAGGATATATGGCTATGTTTTAATGCCTGTTTTCACCTAGAAGCAGCCATGTACTGGATGAATTTATCATGTCTTGTTACAAATAATTCAAGTACTTCACCAAAAAGTTTAATACTTGAATAGATCAGCCTGAAAATTCATAGCTCTGATGCACAGTCCCGTGATCTGTAGCAGAACATAGTCTTTTCTTTTTTTTCTTGAAAATACTTCTAATTTGAAATGGCAAAATGGTGGTAGTTTAGTGTTTTTTGTGGCCCACAATCAAAACGCTGCCGATAAATGTGACACCTACATTTCTTTACAGAAGCAGATTATGCCATGGAAAACATTCAGCTGTCTGGTAGATGATGTACGAGGCTATATTCACAGCGAAGCCCTCTGGGCTTTGAAGAGCAGAAGTTTGGGTGCCTCTGTAGATTGTACCAGCCAGGTGCTAGAGCAGGCTTCAAAGTTTGATTCAGTCCTGTGCTCAAAACAAAACAAAAAGGTAGTTAAGGAACTGCTGTTTGTGCACCGAAGCTCTGTGAAGTCCCTGTCCCATCAAGTACGCATCCAGGCTTTACTTTAGGTTCCTCTATGGGTACCAGCATAATCCTTCTCTCAGCTAAGACTGAAGTACCAAGCACAACAGATTAGGAGAAAACAAACCAAAAATTTGCTGTACTGTGCAGAAGTGGGATTTTCTACAGGTTGTCACATGGTGCTGATAAAGCAAGAGGTGAGGTTAATACCTCCTGGGAATTGTAATCCCTGGGGTGCAGTGCTTTGCTGAGCTATGAACCTATCCTTCCTGCTTGGTGATGGGGAAACACCAAGTGCCTTGTGTTGGAGGAGCTCTGACAGTGGTAAACTGAGCTGGAAGCTCTTGAGGGTGAGCTAGTTGTGACTTCAGGGCTGTGTGTATGTAAAGTACTTCCGTCCAGTCATCCAGAGCCTTGACATCCTCTTAACAAATGTGTGAGCCAGTTAAATAGCTCTGGCTGCTGCTGGGGAAGCAGAACTGCAGTTTTACCCTGGGGAGTGGGAGCATTTGTGTGTTTTTCCATGCAGAGTTGCTCTGTGCTTTGCCCAGCATGCACAAGGTCTCTGCCCACCTGGCTTCTGGGTTCCCCACAGCTGCAAGGGGTGGGCTGGGCCCTTTCCAGAACACCTCTTAGTCAGAGGTTCATCTCCTGATAAGTAGGTGCTGTAGGGAAGGAAGGATCCTTCTCTTAACAGGTATCCAGCTGCAGGTCCACTGAGTTGTTCTCCACAAGGCAAGCAGTCACCATCTATGGCTTACAGAGTTTTCCCACTTGGCTTACCTGTAGTGCTTGGCGGGTGCTTACTTAAATGAAGGGGTGGAGAGCTGTACATAACAGTTTTGTAGAGCCACCTGTTTTGTAATTTCATTTTCACAGATTCCCCCTTTTTGTTGATAGCTCTTCTCTTGTGCAGGCAACAGTGAGCAAGCTGGCTGCTGGCTAGTGAAAAGTCCTGGGTTCAGCTGTAACAGTCAGTTTTCCCTTTCGTAGTAGCTGGTGCAGTGCTGTGTTTTGGCTGTAGTCTGAGAACAATGCTGATAACACACCCAGTGTTTTAGTTGTTGCTCAGTAATGCTTACCCCGATCAAGGACTTTTCAGTCTCTCATGCTCTACCAGTGAGGAGGGGCATGGGAAGCTGCAAGGTAGCAGAGACAGGACACCTGACTCAAAACTAACCAAAGGGGTCTTCCATACCACAGCACGTCATGCCCAGTATATAAACTGAGGGGAGCTACCCAGAAGGCCCAGATTGCTGATTCTCCTCCCCATCCCGCTGGCAGCAGAAGGGAAGAAGGCAGGGAGTGAGTGAGCAGCTCTGTGGTGCTGTTACCAGCTGGCCTTAAGCCACAACAGCTATCAACTTCAACTCTTAATGCAGTTGATTCTTAATCTTCAGGCCCCCTCAGATACAGAACATCATGTTTACTTTTGAGAGTGCACACCCCCAGCACAGCCACAAGTAAGGATGTTTCCTTATTTTTAAAGGTTTTCTTAGTGGTCAGAGGTCTTGCCAAGGGTGGATGGTTTCTTCTTCAGTCCCTCTCTAAGCGGCCACCCTGGCCTCTAGCATCCAGAAGAATTGCAGGAAGAGGGTTTAAGGGAAGGAGGAAAAGTAGGTGTTCTTGATCCTGTGCCATGGTGAGCAAAAACCTAGCTCAAGATCAGACCTTTTAGGGAAAGATTCTGCATGAGAAATGCCATCTTACAGTAAGAAATGTGGAGCTGTAGTGCAACATGAGCCTTCTCTGTCTTCTAGTGAATATGACCACTGCTGCTGCAGCAGCGTAAGCCACACAAACAGGTACATTCAGAGTACCAGCAGATACACATTTTCTTCAGTAAAATGTTTTTTCTTTATTAGTTTATTCAGTTTATTTTCCTGGTATGAAAACAATGTATATCTTTGGTAGCATGTACATTACATTATTATAGTTAACCAAAGAAATTCCTCTTCCTTAGGAAAACATACTATAGACCTTACAGTGTGCCTTAAAATTTAAAGTGGTCTTTCATTGAATGGGTAGAAAGAAGAGCAAAGCTGTCTTAGAGGTGTTGTTCCAGTGCTAACAACCTGGCATCTTTAACACAACCAATTAATAAATCTCTGTTATGCCTGGACACCAGAAAGTTTTTTAAGTGAACAGAGAAGGTGAAGATCATTAATTTGGCTTTAACAAATAAGTTGGGAATCCTCATCTGAAAGTAGATCTATCAGATCAGTACTGAAATGGCTAAACACTTGTCTTCATCCACTGGGCTGTCTTTGTGATCTTCATGCAAAATGCCCAAGAAAGCATTGCTTAGTCATAGGAGGTGTCAAATGACTGTGAGAATGAAGACCTTAGGCCCACCATAGGAAAGGATCTTATTTGAGACCACCTTAAGAACCTGAATGTGCACAAGTCCATGGGACCTGATGAAATCCATCTGCGGGTCCTGAAGGAGCTGGCAAATGAAGTTGCTAAGCCACTGGCCATCATATTTGAGAAATCATGGCAGTCAGGTGAAGTTCCCAACAACTGGAAAAAGGGAAATATAACCCCCATTTTCAAGAAGGGGAAAATGGATGACCTGGGGAATTACAGACCAGTCAGTCTCACCTCTGTGCCAGGCAAAATCTTGGAGCAGATTCTCCTGGAAGGCATGCTAAGGCACATGAAAAACAGCAAGATGCTTGGTGACAGCCAGCATGGCTTCACTAAGGGGAAATCCTGCCTGACCAATTTGGTGGCCTTCTATGATGGGGCCACAGAACTGATGGACAGGGGTAGAGCAGTTGATGTCATCTACCTGGACTTGTGCAAAGCGTTCGACACTGTCCCACATGACATCCTTGTCTCTAAATTGGAGCGACATCAATTTGATGGATGGACCACTTGGTGGATAAAGAACTGGCTGGATGGCTGCATGCAAAGAGTTGTGGTCAATGGCTCAATGTCCGGCTGGAGACCAGTAACGAGTGGCATCCCTCAGGGATCGGTGTTGGGACCGGTCTTGTTCAACATCTTTATCTCTGACATGGACAGTGGGATTGAGTCCCCCTCACCAAGTTTGCCGATGACACCAAGCTGTGTGGTTCAGTTGATACGCTGGAGGGAAGGAATGCCATCCAGAGGGACCTGGACACGCTTGTGAGGTGGGCTG